TTTTGCTTATAGCTAATAGGATTATTATATTTTTATTAATTTGTATTATTTATGTATTTTCTAGTAGGATAGTGAAAGATGTATTAATTAGATTTTTTGTACTGTAATAAGTGATGCCAATAAGATATCCGAATTAGTTGTAACATGAAAATCATGATTTTTTTATAAAAATTGCAATAACTCAAAACTTTATATATGAAAAGATTTATATAAATTGGAGTTTTTAAAAAAGATTGATGAATGTGTTTTTGGTATTGAGTTATAGAATAGAATTTTTAAGTGTCAAATTTGATAGTGTAAGATGGTGGTTTGATTTATAGATTGTTTTTTGTAATTTAAATAATTGTAAGAAATATTATATAGTTGATTAATTAATATTTGATTTTATTGACTGCTGTTAGTTATGAAAAAAGAAGTACATATAATAGTTATATCTAATTGTTTATACAAGGTAGTAATTAGTATTACAGTTGTAAAGTTGGGGCGTGTGATAAATTATGTAAATCAAAACTATGTGTGGTTACTTATATATTTTAATTAGTCTAGATTTTTTAGTAATCATTTATGTTATATGATTTATATATATAACTGGTCTTACTTTTTTAGATACACATGTTGTATCTTTCTTTTTAGTAAAACTATTTTGATGTTACTATATCTAAAAAGTTACAAAGTTTGTTTTTACGTTATCTATAATAACCCATTTTTATTTGTTCAAAAAATTTTTAAATAAATGATTTTTTTTTGATAGAAAGATTTATTTGGCTTTGTAACTTTGTTCTCTGAAACTTACTATTAATGTGAGTAAAATTTGGATTTAGAATAACCAGTTTAAGGGCTGTGTATATAATTAAATTTTAATAGTCATAATCAAAGAACCAAAAATCTTCAATATTAAATTTTTATTTAGTACTATATATAGTTTTGATTTACATAGTTTATTGCACACTCCATTATAAAGTGGTTTTAATGTTAGCTTGTACATGATATTAAGTAGGCTTTTTTTCTAGTTAACATGGCGGTTTGCTATAATTAGCATTTAACTTTCTACAAAAATACAGAATACTATGTCAATATTAAATAAAACCTGATCAAAACATGTAAATCATATTTTTTTTTTATCATTAGTAATAATTAATAACAATTGTTAAATATTATGCCTTCAATATTTAGCAACTAAGCCAGTGTAGCCTATTTCTATAAAATTAGCTTAATTAGTTGATAAATTCTGCTTGATCACTACCCTTAGTTGATTCAGAGTTAGCGTTAGTCAACTTAGCCAACTAAGAGGATCTGATTTTTTTAAAATTTGGGTTAGTTGTCTAAAGACCTGACTCACCCAAATACTATGGGACTCTCAAAGTTGTCAATACTAAATAGCATTTAGCCTATTACAGAAATGCAGGTTATTATTTTAGTATCAAAAAAATATGATCAATGTAGATATAGCGAATCTTTTACAGAAATATGCATTTTTACTGGTATAGATCTCACTAATATGTATTGTAATCTGAAATTGCAGGTTGTAATCATTAGTAACTAGCAAACAATTAATGCAGAGATAAACATGAATAATACAATATTTCAATCAACAATAAAATCATATTTTGTCATTTACAACCATGACTCAGGGGACTCTCAAGCATTAATAGAGATATGATTTCATAGTGATCAGAACAGTATACAAGTATTATAACGTAATTCTAGCTAGCATTTTGGATAAAAGTCAATAATATAATGATGATATTAAGGAGCTTTCATTTATTACGTAAATATAGCCTCTCCAAAGTCAGTCATTTGACAATTACAAGTTCTAAAGTAATCAATCATTTGACAATTGCAAGCTCTAAAATAACCAATTGTACAGAGTTTATATTATAATTACTTTAGAACTTGTAATTGTTAAATGATTGATTCTGTAGGGAGCTATATTTACATAATAAGTAAAGGTTCCCTTAAAACTATCACTTCAATTAATTGAGAACACCTATAGCTAAATCATTAATCTTGTTTATTTTTGCAATTATTATAAAATTTTATTTTATTGTCTTTCTTAGTTATGATCATGTATAGTGAAGTGCTTTGGAACTGTTCGATAATCTAGTCAGTACCCAGTACTATGGTTGGAAATAATGTTATAATACTAGATGCTGTAACTTTCTTATAAATTTATTAAGCTATACATTATATGTGCAAATAGTTCCGTTGCACAATTTGGAATGACTATAATTGGATATAACAATGCAAAAGAATAGTGTTGCAATTGGACAATTTTGGATACTTTTGAACATGTTTTAGACAGTTTTACAATGGCCAAAATTCTGTCTAAAACATTAAACTGTTAAAACTGTTCAAAAACTATCAACTGCAATATAATAAAGTTATCAGCTATTGTTAATTATATTTTTAATGTATTGATGTAGATATATCTTAGTTTTTAATATTTTTTTCTATATTTTGATTTCATTCATACAACTTTATGTTTTCAAATTAATGAGAATTGATATATTTCATCTTAGCCAACACAAAATCAATGGGTTTGGTTATGTAATTTACAGTATATTAGATCAAATCTGTACAATATAAAATTACAAAATATGCCAATAGTTCAAAATTTTGCATATGAGTGCTGCCAAGAGAAACCTTAAACTGGAAATTTAAATTTATTATTGATTATTTACTAATTTAGCTATGAACGAAAAATATATATTACAACTGAAGCTTGAAACAACTGTGGCTTGAAATTTTAAATAAATACTTTAATATGAAACTTCAAAAAATTTTTGGGTGCATTTTTTTAACTTTTTTTTTATAGTTAGCTTAGGATTTAGAATTAATTTTAATGATTAAAATGTATTAGTAAATTTTGGTAATGTTTATAATTTTAAGGGGAATTTACAAATAAGGGTCCAGAAAATGAAAAGCATTAGTATGACTAGTCATGTTGATGGATAAATGTCGGCTAGCCAAAGGTGCCAGAAATAAATTCAATTAAAGAACATGAAGTCCGCAGAATATATTATAAGTAATTTTAGCTAAGTAAATAGAACTGAAATGATGATATACACCCAGAAAATTAGCAAGTGAGATTGCACCAAGCATCATTGTAATAGTAGAATGAGTGAGAAGTAGAACGAGCAAGAAGCAGCATTAGCAGGTGGTTTCACGTCTGCTCAAATCAGGCCAGCTGTTAAATAGGAAAATGGCAGAATCAGGAGACTACAATGTGTGGAGAGAGAGAAATTTGTTTGCTGAAGACTATTGTATCGAAGTAGAATAGAATGTCAAAATCGACTTTTCTTTGTTAGCTATTTATATATCAATCATATTATCACTGATAATTATTTCTGATTCCTAATTTATCTAGCCTAAGTCTTAAGCTTAACTTTAAAAAAATAATTGCTATGTCATTGACTCATAATAATAGATCAAATACAAAATTTAAATCGTTGATTAAGAAGCTAGGGTTAGATAAGAGCTTATACTAAAAGTAGTAATTGTATCTATTTTAAAATTCAAATCTGGTCATATGTGGATAGGTTACCTAGGTAAAAATTTTATGAATACAGTTTTTATTATTGCTTTCTTTTCTGTAGTCCAGCTTCCTAAAATGCAATTTCTCAGATTTTATAATTCCAATATTTTTTTTTCTGACAAAATACATTTGAGTTCTTTTATTTTATCAATATTCACTTTATTGACAGTTTAATTTACTGATAGTTAAACTCACCACTAGTTTATTTTATTAATAGTTATTTCACTAACAAAATAATTCTAGTTATTGCTGTTAGGTTAGGTTTAGAATTAAAATTAAGGTTAGTATAATTTTTAAAAAACCTGTTAATAAAATAAGTTATTAGTAAAATAAGAGTTAGTAAATTAATAACATAAATAATACATATCAAATATATATATAGTAACAAAAAAGATTAATAATTATATAATACTGTTTTCACTTTCTTTAATTACTTTTTTATTTCTGGCTTTTTTACTAGATTTATCACCTTTTACCAGTTTTGCCACCTTTTTAAAATGCCATAAAAGAAGTCACAGATCATTCATTTATTACAAGATCACAACCTAAACCCATATAGTGTTTTTGTAGTTGTCTTCTATTGTGTTTTCAGTATACCAGGTAATCAAGTAACAAATAAAATGCTGTGAACAAAGTTAGAGCCATTCATTTGTAACGAGATCACAACCCAGACCCATAACATCAGGTTGACAATTTGTAGATCATTTTGTAAGTATGATGTAGTAGGCAATAGTAAATATGATGTATTGAGCATTGTTGAGTATAATGTATTACTAAAGAGTTTGTTTGATTGATTGATAGGTAAATATAAAATTATGGAAAGGCTATATAAAGGAAAAAAATGGGATGTTGAATCTCCCTTTTTTGCTTTGCTTCTAGATTAATGAGAGTCTAGCTTTGTTGTAAATGCCCACTTTCACATTGCCAGAAGTGAGGTGGTATTGTGAGTTAGGAGAACATATATATGATAGTCTGGGTGGACAATCTGAATATTGGGATTAAGTGCTTTAGTAATTCAACTAAACAGGCCAGATATCAAAAAAAAAAAGAATGGAAATTAGGAAAAGAAAGATTAATACTAGGAATTAGCAGCTGTAGACCACGTGAGCAGTAGAGCAAAATCCTATATAGTGTTTTTATAGTTGTTTTCTGTTGTATATACCAGGTGATCAAATAACAAAATTAGCTTCATCAGTTTCACTAGTTTTGCCACCTTTTGCCAGTTTCGCTATTTTGCTATTTTAATTTTTTTTGGTGAAAGTTGAAACTAGGTTTTGCCTTTTGTTTGGTGTGAAACCTCGAGATTTCATCTAACAACATTAATGCAAACTTACCCATAAGTTCAAACATTAAGATTAATAGTAGTAGTACTCTTTAAATGTTTTTTTAGTTGTAACTTGTTATCTTATTGTAACCACTACAGTATTATAAAGCACTCTATCTGTTTTCAGATAAAATCAAACCATGTCTCAGTCAAAGCCTACAAGATAGTGTGCAAAGATGGATTTTAGAATATTTAGAATTCTGTTGTATATTGGCCCCTGTAGATACCTAGTTTTTGTTGTTATACCATTTTTCACAATTACAATATATATACGTATATATGTATGTACTATATAACAGATCTCTAATTATGATCAGAGCACAAAAAATATCAAATTTAGTAAAGCTGTATTTTACAAGCTTGAGGGTGTTATTTAGGATATAATAGTAAAGTAGTACAGTACTAAATGCAAATTAGAATGGATGTCTAGAGATTAAGATAGTATGTACATATGTACGTACTGTATATACGTTTGTACGTTCAAAAAAATTTGTCAACTCAAGTTGTTTTCTTTCTGTCTATATTAATTGTATATTTGATTAAATTTAGTATAATTTTTGTATGTACGTCCAAATCTGTATTGCCCTACAGTCTATTTTACTGAATACATGTTATTTTACTAGTATATTATTACAGTATTATAGTAACAAGTTTAATTCTTTGTATAATTTTACTCATTTTCAAACATTAAGCAGGTTATATATTTAAATTTTATTGCAAACATTATATTTTTAATTGTATGTTACAAATGTTTAATAGAAACATCTGAGAATGTAAATGGTATTTTAAATCAAAAAACTGATTAAAAGTAGAAGGTATATAGATCATTTTTTATATGATCTTGTTGGTATATTTTTGGTTTATTTAATATTTAAAAATATTTTATAAGCTAACTGTTTTAGTGTATTAAGTAAAGTTTGTAGAATAGGATTTTTTGATTCTAATAATAGTAAAATCATTATAATCAGTTAAATATTTAATAAGAAATATGTATTTAAATATTAAGTATTATTTTTACTTACAAAAATCATATGATGATTATATGATATGAACCAATTAAAAACACTGATTTTGTGTAATCCCAGTAAATTTGAAGTCATCTCAGCAAACTTTATAATATATACAAGTATAATTTTTTTAAATATTTTATCTATTAAAACTTTTACTACTATAAAAATCATATTCTAAACTATATATTATAAAAATTTAGTGAAAATTAATTGTGATAGTAAAAAGTTTTATTAGAAGCATATATCTATTTTTTATAAAAATCATATAATCATATAACAAAATGATCTACATACTCTCTACCCTAAAGAATTATAATTTTAATTATTGTCGTGAATTATCGTGAAATCGAATTATCGTAAAATCCATATGACCTGTACCTATATATCATTTCATGTAGCATAAGGATCGATATTCTAAAATTCTGAATCAAGTATTATATTGTGCAACTTGTTTATTAAAAAAAAAAACAATCGTTTTTTAAACACCCACCCAAGAAAAAGCAGTGCTCAAGAAAAAGTAGCGCCCATCTATTCACACAAGAAAAAGCAGCACCCACTCATCCACCAAGAAAAAGCAGCACCCAAAAAAAAGCAGCACCTACCCACCCAAGAAAGTAGACTCCCGGCATCTACCTGCACAAAAAAAAAACCCTCAAGGTTTTTTTTTTTGTTTTTTTTAAACATGGTGCCAATTTCCAAAATTCCTGAAACAGCTGAGGAGTATCAGATGATAGTCGAATATCTTTGGTTAGGAACTTTCCCGGATAGCATTTGGAAGAGCCCCATTACCTCTACTACACGATGCAACTTCGTTCGCCGTTGCAAAAATTTTGAAGCTGACGAAAATGTAATTCTTTATATTAAGCCAGTTGTAAAGAATGGTGTGATCATGTCTAAAAAATGCTGTGTAGTTCCCAAATATGATGTAGAAATGCGTGCTCTAATTTTGGAGCGCTTTCATGATCAAGCAAATCATCGTGAATACCATAAAACCTTTTCAGCGATTTTAGAAAGGCACATTAGAATCACACAAGAAGAGGTGAAAATATACGTAACCGAATGTAATACCTGTGTGATAAATACCACTATCAAAGAAAAAACTGATGTAATTTCTGTAGTATCTTTGGGCCCTTGGCAGTATGTTCAAATCAATTTAGTCGATTTCTGTTAATTTGCTGAAGAGAACGATGATTTTTCATAGCTGCTTACATGTGTCTGTGTGTTTTCTAAGTTTCTCGTTACAGTTCCAATGAAAAATAAGGAAGCAGGAACGGTTGCGACATACTTTCTTAAAGATGTTTTCAAGATCCTTGGGCCTCCTGTGGTTCTTTAAAGTATAATGGTAAGGAATTTGTTACAATTATAATCACACAAATTTGTAGGGCTCTGAACATTAAAGTTAGGCACGGTCGGCCCTGGCACCCACAGTCACAAGGACAAATCGAGCGGTTTAATCAGACTGTGGGCCTTGTTTTACTAAGTTACTTTGGGATCAAAACAATCAACTGCAAAAAAAAAACTAGATCAATGTAATCGACGTATTTGTCATGTCGTATAATTTGACAGTTCACACGGCGCATAGCTGTACACTATACAAAGTACTTTTTGAATGAAAAATGCATTGTGTTTATGATACTCTTAGCACAATTGGTTGGTTGATGTTTAACTTGTTAAGCGGGTTAGGATTAGCAAATTTAAAACAAGTAGGATTAGAGTAGTTAGATTTTAGTAGTTTTTTTTTTTTTTTTTTTTTTTTTTTTTTTTTTTTTTATTAGACTTTAGAATTATAATACTAAATGTTTAGTTGGTTTTTTTTTTTTATTAAAGGTTCTCTTAAGAATATTGTCGCAGAATCAGTTCCGGAATCCTCCACCACCACCACTGATACCACCACCACTGATGCCACCACCACTGATGCCACTACCACTGATGCCACCACCACTGATGCCACCACCGATACCACCACTACCAATGCCACCATCACCGAGACTACCACCACCACTCAAGTCACCACCGGCCAAGCTGTTGTCTCTGAAGCCATCACCACTGAAGCCACCACCACTAAAATCACCACCACCCAAGCTATTGCCCCTGAAACCACCGCCCAAACTGCTAAGTCCAAAGCTGTGAAAGAATATCTTTCACAAATGTTGGAACTCCAGAAATCTGTAAATAAGTCGCTTAAAAAATATTGTGCAAGGATATATCGGCAAGGAAGTATGTATAGAAAAAAAATGGCTAATAACACAATTGAAGCTAAGGCCACAGTTGCTATTACGCCAGACCATGATATGAATCAGCAAACTAAGAAAAGAAAGTTACAACTAGCCTTTTCCCAACAAGGTGTGTTTAAATCATTCACATCCAACAATTGAACTGCGGTTGTTAAAGTGAATAGCGAAGATA